CGCCCAGTCCACACCGCGGTCTCGAAACCTCGCAGGCTCCTCGTCCACACTCCGCCCCCCCCCCAAGACGCGTGCCACCCCCTAGCACCGCAAAGGTAATCAGCCTGTGGTCGCTTGTGCTGACGTCTTCGTGTACCCGCCAGTCGCCGATCTTCACGCTTCTGGTGCTGAGAGTTGCGTCGATATTGGATGCGCCGTTCGGTGAGCAAAAGGTTTCCGGCTCACCCTCTAAGTTATTGACTGTGAGGCCCTTTGCTAATATAAAGGCCTCAAGAGCCTCCCGCCTCTCTTCGGCTGTCCTGCCGCGCCCCCTGAGCTGCTCCTCTCTACTGTGCCACAAGCTTGAGTGGGTGTTGGTGTCTACCGCGATAATGACCGGTTCCCCCTTCAGCGCTTCCAGTACCCGTTCCAGGTGCCTTATGTGCGGTTGTATGTCATCGCTGTACTGGAAGTACGCCGAGACCAGGTATACCAGGCCAGTCCGCAGCTCCACCTGTGCCACTGAGCAGTGGCTGGTGGTCAGGTGATTCATCCTCAGGATGGCTGTCCTTCTCAGCACCAGAATTCCTGCTTTAGCCGAGACGTCCTGCTGCAGGAGTCCCGGCAGCCCGGCCCTCGTATACTGCTCTTGCACCATTACAATCTCAAGGCCGAGCTGCGTAGCCAGTGCTGGCAGTTCTTTCGTAGCTGTTTCGGACCCCTGCAGATTCAGCTGTCCCACGCGGCTGTTAAGTCCTCCTCGTGCGGTGGCGGTTCTACCCTCCATAATTTGTTCTCTCGAAGGACCGCCTCTCCGCTGCCTGCCTCGCTGGGCACTGAGCCGACGCAGTATTGTGGCTCGCCGCCTCCTTTCCTGCGCGCTTGCACGTTGCGCACTGGCGCACTGAGCCTACACAGGCGCTGCTTCTGTGGCCCTCTTCGCCGCATTTGCCACACACATCCGCAGTGGCCCTGCAGAAGCGAGCGGCGTGCCCGTACGCCTGGCACTTCGCGCAGCAAGTCGCGTCCGCAAAGTCTCTTACGAGGTACCTCTCCCACTCCACGTATACCCGCTGAGCCCCTACAAGCTTGTCCCTCCAGGAGGGACTGCACTCAAGCACTACAGTTGTGCATGATCCCCCCCTGGCGTTCTTCTTGAAAGCTATTCTTACATCGCTAGGGGCCCAGCTCTCCTGCTCCGGGAAGTTCTGCGTCCTCAGTGCCCTTATGAAGGATTCGTCCTCCACTCGCCGGCCTTCTACCGCCACGACCGCAACGAGCGGGTTCCGCGCCCTTGGCTCCTGTACCCTCAGGTTTGCTGGCGCCGCCTTTTTTATAATTTCCGCCTCTTTCTTTGTGGCCGCGTGCACCAGCACCCCAGCGTTCGCCACCTTGCGGACCTGGCTCACCCGCACTCCCAGGGCCCGCGGGTCTAGGCCCGACTTTAGGGCCGCCTTAGTGTCGTCCGCCGTTTTTAATTTTTCAGCCGCCTCCGGCTTCGGGTAGAAGGCCAGCACCTTCCCTGCTTCCGCTGGTTTCGGCTTGGTCGCCCCCCCGCCGACCCTTAACACATCCGCATACCCTCTGTGTATAGTGGGGCCACTGGCGGGCGCGAGACCTGTCGTCGTCGCCGCCGATGCCTGGGCCAGCGCGCTCTCCAGCTTATGTGCCCGTAGGCGCTCCTCTCCCAACTTTGCCCCCAGGGTTGCCACTATCGCCGTGAGGCGCTGCACCTGGGTCCCGATTGCGGCTATATCAGCTTTATTTAGTTTCGACGTTGATGACGACGCTGCCGCCATCAGCGCTTCTCCAGCCTTGTTGGCGCGCTCCACCAGCAACCCCGTTGACGCTTCATGGTCGACTTCGCTCATCGCCACTTCCGCACCGCCCGCACGTTCCTCCTCCGCCGGCATTGCTGACACCGGCTCCAACTCCTGTTCTCCGGCTAGGATGCCCCCCAGCGGCGGGGTGTTTGCCCCTCGCACCGGTGCCGCTCTCACACGGCGTCTCAGTTCCTCCTCGAGCTCTTCCGGGGAGTCCCATTTCCTTTTGCTCGTGCCTGCGACCGGTGTAATCACAAGCGGCACGACACCGGCAGATGGCGGCGGGGACCGCCGAAGCGAAGCCCGCGGTGTAAAACCCGCCTCTCGAGTTATCTCCTCTAGTAGCTGGAGTTCACGCTCTTTGCGCCTCAAGATCTCCTCGACCTGCTCGGGTTCCATTTCGAATGGCTCCCGATATCGCGAACGTTTCTCGTCTGACGATCAGTCGCGAACGTTTCTCGTCACACAAAACGGAGTCACGAACGTTTCTCGTAATGCGAACACCCGCGAACGTTTCTCGTATTAGAGGTGTCAAAAATTGTCCAAAACTAAAAACTAATCACTCCGCGTCCATAGCGCACTTCTCCCTAAGCTAATTATTCCACTATCAGACCTAATAACTATCCCTATACCTAATTAAAAGTCAAATAACTACTCACTAATCAGGTCCACGTGGTCCACACAGTTTTCACTTATAATCTATGATAAACACTACAAAAATACACCGTTTAAACTTTTCACTAAAGATTTTGGGGGGGGGGGGGGCGGGGGGATAAACTACGTTTAAAAATAAAATCCTACATACTATTTCACTTTATAAATGTCTATATCAAAAACCGAAGCGAAAAATAAAAAAAAGGTTTCAAAAAAAAAAGTTTTGGGGGGGGCCCCCCCCCCCCCCCCCCCCCCCCGGGGGCCCCCCCCGGGAAAAAAAAGGACAGCGGGAATCTCGTTAATCCATTCATGCGCGTCACTAATTAGATGACGAGGCATTTGGCTACCTTAAGAGAGTCATAGTTACTCCCGCCGTTTACCCGCGCTTGCTTGAATTTCTTCACGTTGACATTCAGAGCACTGGGCAGAAATCACATTGCGTCAACACCCGCGAGGGCCATCGCAATGCTTTGTTTTAATTAGACAGTCGGATTCCCCTTGTCCGTGCCAGTTCTGAGCTGACCGTTGAACGGCGGTCGTATAGAACCGCGCCGAGACGCCGCCACGTCGCGAGCGACGAGCGAGCCTACGACGCGGCCTTACGGCTAGGAAGATCCGCGGAAGGCCGGAGCGCGGGTCCGGATTCAGCACGCGCGCGAAGCGCGAGCATCGACCAGGCCCGGCACCGGCCGCATCCGCTTCCCGTCCAAACCCGACACGCCCCGGTCCTCAGAGCCAATCCTTATTCCGAAGTTACGGATCCAATTTGCCGACTTCCCTTACCTACATTATTCTATCGACTAGAGGCTCTTCACCTTGGAGACCTGCTGCGGATATGGGTACGAACCGGCGCGACATCTCCACGTACATCCCTCACCTGAATTTTCAAGGTCCGCAGAGAGTATCCGGACACCGCCGCAAATGCGGTGCTCTTCGCGTTCCGAACCATATCTCCCTTCTATAGGATTCCATGGAACTCGAACGCTCAGGCAGAAAAGAAAACTCTTCCCGGACCCCTCGGCGGCGTCTTCAGGCCACTTTGGGTTACCCCGTCGAACCATCGTACGAATTAACGAAACGAGGGAACGATTATTGAAACGGTTCCGCTGCCGGGTTCCGGAATAGGAACCGGATTCCCTTTCGCTCAAAGGGCGTTGTTGTTTTATACAAAATCATATATAATAAACACGCCGCATCGACATAAGATCTCTCATTGAGCTTAGGATCGACTGACTCGCGAGCAACTACTGTTCACGCGAAACCCTTCTCCACGTCAGTCCTCCAGGGCCTCGCTGGAGTATTTGCTACTACCACCAAGATCTGCACCGACGGCGGCTCCAGGCGGGCTCACGCCCAGACCCTTCTGCGCTCACCGCCGCGCGCGTCCTACTCGTTACGGCTTAAATTTTTCAATTACAATGCCGGTAACGGTAGTGTATAGGCAGAACGCTTCAGCGCCATCCATTTTCAGGGCTGGTCGCTTCGGCAGGTGAGTCGTTGCACACTCCTTAGCGGATTCCGACTTCCATGGCCACCGTCCTGCTGTCATGAGCGACCAACGCCTTTCATGGTGTCCCATGAGCGTTCTTTAGGCGCCTTAACACTACGTTTGGTTCATCCCACAGCGCCAGTTCTGCTTACCAAAATTGGCCCACTTGGCACCGTCATCAGATCTCCGGCTTCATCGTTCGAGTAAGCCGGAGTTCTCACCCATTTAAAGTTTGAGAATAGGTTGAGGTCGTTTCGGCCCCAATGCCTCTAATCATTCGCTTTACCGGATGAGACTGTTGCGCTTCGACGCCAGCTATCCTGAGGGAAACTTCGGACGGAACCAGCTACTAGATGGTTCGATTAGTCTTTCGCCCCTATACCCAGTTCCGACGATCGATTTGCACGTCAGAATCGCTACGGTCCTCCATCAGGGTTTCCCCTGACTTCGACCTGACCAGGCATAGTTCACCATCTTTCGGGTCCCAGCATCTGTGCTCAGAGCGCGCCTGCATTCACTGATTGGAAACGAGACGCCTCGGGGGTGCGGGAGCGGGCGACCTCGCGGCGACACCGCCCCATCCCCCCTGAGCGCGCGGCTAGCGCGCGCCTTCACTTTCGTTTCGCCTCTCGGTTTTGTCTAATATTATTATCTCAGTCGACCGGTTTAGAGCCGACGAACCGAATGACTCGCACACATGCTAGACTCCTTGGTCCGTGTTTCAAGACGGGTCCTGCGAGTGCCCGAAACTTAGAACATCGCAGACACGACACGCGCACTGTCAAAGGCTACACGGCTGCTACGAAAAAACAGCGGCGCCGCGCCCGCGTCCGCGCTACGGCAGGCGCACGGGCGACGACGCGCATCATATTGAACGCTTGCGTCGGGCCTGACGTGCGTGCAAAGATTGCACGTGCGCGATTCGTATGCACAATGGCCGAATACCGTCCGCGGTCGGTCGGCACCGGCGGTCAGGTCGGGCGGCGCGTCGCGCCCCGCGAGGGGACGACGGCCGCCCGGCTCCAGGTCGCCGGGCTTAGACCGACGGCGCGAACGGGTCGCGATGTCGTTTAGTTACTGAGAGAGAAGTGCACGCCGCCCGCGAGCGTCGACACGTGCGTCCCGTGCTAGCGTCGTCGCCGCGAAGCGGGACGCCGGCATCGTGGCGCGCACTAGTACGCCGCGGGATGACGATGAATCTCTCCGTTCGTTCATTCGAGTTTCGCAGGTTTACCCCTGAACGGTTTCACGTACTCTTGAACTCTCTCTTCAAAGTTCTTTTCAACTTTCCCTCACGGTACTTGTTCGCTATCGGTCTCGCGGTAATATTTAGCCTTAGATGGAGTTTACCACCCACTTAGGGCTGCACTCTCAAGCAACCCGACTCTGAGGAGCGTCCCTCTCGCGCGCTCGCCCCGTCGCTACGGGCCTGGCACCCTCTGCGGGAAAACGGCCCCGTTCAAGACGAACTTGGACGAGAGCGGGACGCGCGAGAAAGCGGAACCTCCCGAACACCACATCTCCCGCGATCGAGACGACCGCGGGATTCAGCGCTGGGCTCCTCCCTGTTCGCTCGCAGCTACTGAGGGAATCCTTGTTAGTTTCTTTTCCTCCGCTTACTAATATGCTTAAATTCGGCGGGTGATCCTCCCTGATCTGAGGCCAACGATACAAAAAAAGTGGGAGGCAGACGCGATATCCGTCGGCGCGCGATCGCGCTGAGCGCGGCGCGCCCTTCGGACGTCGTGTCCGCCTACGCGCGACTCTCTTTTTTTTTCATTATTCTCATTATTGTTATTATTATTATTATTATTATATGCGACACGCGCGACCGCTCGAAAGCAGCGCGCGCTCAAATCGACGCGCACGGCGCAAGCGCACACTTCGCGAAGACATCAACCACACACCACGTACTTAATAACCACCGTCGTCGTCGTCGTCGTCGACCCCGTTCGAATTGTATTATTCGTCGTAGTCGTCGTCGTCGTCGTCGTCGTCGTCGTTGGAGACGTGTGTGTGTTGTCGTTCGTTGCTGTTGTGACGTTTCACCGCTGCCGCTCTGCTCTGCATTAGAGCGGCGGCAGAGCGTCGACCGCGACACGAGCGGCGGGCGGTCGGCGAGTCGCGAACAATAATAAAAAACAACACGTGATTCGTGTGTATATTCGAACGGATCGCGCGCTCCGCGAGCGAACACGCGGAGGCGCGAAACCGTCAGGCGACTCGTGACGTGCGCTCACGCGCGCGTACACGAACAGTGCGGCAATTTGTTACACACGTGCGTGTGTATCGTTTTCATGCAAGCCGGCCCTCAGACAGGAGTGGTCCTGGATATTTCTCCACGGACCGCAATGTGCGTTCGAAATGTCGATGTTCAAATGTGTCCTGCAGTTCACACTATGACGCGCAGTTAACTGCGTTCTTCATCGACCCGCGAGCCAAGTGATCCACCGTTCAGGGTAATCGTTTAGCTGTTGTAGCGTTTTGTGGTTGTATATTATGTATGATATTATTTATTATCTCTGTGCATAACACATAATCTTCGCGAATCACTCGACACTTAATACTCGTTCGTTCGTTCGTTCGTGTATATCGGCGTCGAGAGATTCGATTAATTCGATCGATCGAAAACGTTCTCTACGTAAACAACGCACACACGCCGCAGTGGTTGGTGGTGGTGTGTTTTGAACGCAACGTTAATGATCCTTCCGCAGGTTCCCCTACGGAAACCTTGTTACGACTTTTACTTCCTCTAAATGATCAAGTTTGGTCAACTTCCCAGCAACGCCGACGGCCGCGAAGCCACCGCGTGTCGGTCCGAAGACCTCACTAAATCATTCAATCGGTAGTAGCGACGGGCGGTGTGTACAAAGGGCAGGGACGTAATCAACGCGAGCTTATGACTCGCGCTTACTAGGAATTCCTCGTTTATGGGGGATAATTGCAAACCCCAATCCCCAGCACGAAGGAGTTTCAACGGGTTGCCCGGGCCTCTAGGCCAGGGAGAACATGTTGATTCCTTCAGTGTAGCGCGCGTGCGGCCCAGGACATCTAAGGGCATCACAGACCTGTTATTGCTCAATCTCGTGCGGCTCGAAGCCGCCGGTCCCTCTAAGAAGAATTTTAATACGCCGCCAGTGAGCTGCACGACCCGACAAAGCGAGCCGCGCACACCTAAATGACGACGCCTATTTAGCAGGCTAGAGTCTCGTTCGTTACCGGAATTAACCAGACAAATCGCTCCACCAACTAAGAACGGCCATGCACCACCACCCACCGAATCAAGAAAGAGCTGTTAATCTGTCAATCCTTCCGGTGTCCGGGCCTGGTGAGATTTCCCGTGTTGAGTCAAATTAAGCCGCAGGCTCCACTCCTGGTGGTGCCCTTCCGTCAATTCCTTTAAGTTTCAGCTTTGCAACCATACTCCCCCCGGAGTCCAAAATCTTTGGTTTCCCGGAAGCTGCCCGCCGAGCCATTGTAGTAACGTCGGCGGATCGCTAGATGACATATTTACGGTTAGAACTAGGGCGGTATCTAATCGCCTTCGAACCTCTAACTTTCGTTCTTGATTGATGAAAACACCTTTGGCAAATGCTTTCGCTGATGTTCGTCTTGCGACGATCCAAGAATTTCACCTCTAACGTCGCAATACGAATGCCCCCAGTTATCCCTATTAATCATTACCTCGGAGTTCTGAAAACCAACAAAATAGAACCGAGATCATATTCTATTATTCCATGCACGAAATATTCAAGCGGCATTTTGAGCCCGCTTTGAGCACTCTAATTTGTTCAAAGTAAAATTGTCGGCCCACCTCGACACTCATTGAAGAGCACCGCGATAGGATTTTGATATTGAACCGACGTTTAACCGCCGGCTCACCGACGATATGCTCCGCAGACGTGTCAGTATCACCGCTGACGCGGTGCACCGGACAGCGCGGCGCACAAATGCAACTACGAGCTTTTTAACCGCAACAATTTTAGTATACGCTATTGGAGCTGGAATTACCGCGGCTGCTGGCACCAGACTTGCCCTCCAATTGTTCCTCGTTAAAATATTTAAAGTGTACTCATTCCGATTACGAGGCCTCGTAAGAGTCCCGTATCGTTATTTTTCGTCACTACCTCCCCGTGCCGGGAGTGGGTAATTTGCGCGCCTGCTGCCTTCCTTGGATGTGGTAGCCGTTTCTCAGGCTCCCTCTCCGGAATCGAACCCTGATTCCCCGTTACCCGTGACAACCATGGTAGTCGCAGAAACTACCATCGAAAGTTGATAAGGCAGACATTTGAAAGATGCGTCGCCGGTACTGGACCGTGCGATCGGCAAAAGTTATCCAGATTCATCAAAATTAACGACTTCGGACGCGAGGCCCTCCGCCGATTGGTTTTGATCTAATAAAAGCACTCATCCCATCACTGGTCAGAGTTCTGATTGCATGTATTAGCTCTAGAATTACCACAGTTATCCAAGTAACCGAGTAAGATCTAAGGAACCAAAACTGATATATTGAGCCATTCGCGGTATCGCCTTAATACGGCTTGCACTGAGACATGCATGGCTTAATCTTTGAGACAAGCATATAACTACTGGCAGGATCAACCAGGGAGCTATCGAAAACTCTCGACGACACGCTAACACACACACGGGAGAGACGTTGTGTGCGCGTGTGTCTTTATATTATTTTATCGTCTTTTGTTGTGTGCGGCGGCGCGCGCGGGTTGGATTGGGTGGGTGTGTGATGCGATGTAGTAGTACAGTGCATGCACAACACCACTACTCCTCCTCACTCCCTCCGCACACAATTGTCTCGCGGGCGGCGAGTCGTCGTATATCTCAACGACGAAACGGCCGATCGACAGACGAGGAGAGATGTAAAACTCTCGCTATCGGCGTGAACGTTAAGAATACACGAAAAAAAGCCCAAATTTCCACTCTTGTCGTCTTATCAAGAGCGACAAGCGATTATGAATCGGTTGGCATTATTGTCGATTTCTCGATTCGATTAACATTCGAATCGTAGCCCGGTGATGGAGGGATTTTCAATCACTACGCGAACGAGAGGCGACACGCCCTCATTGGTAACGAACGAGAGAGAGTAGTACGCCGCAATTCAGTGTGGTTGATGATGCGTCGTGCGTAAACACTCTGTCTCTTCTCTCATCGGCGGCGGGGGAGATTTTCTCTCTCCCCGCGTTACATCCGATTTTATATAATAATACCACCGTTTGAACGGGCGGAGACTTGACAGCTCGTAAGTGCATTACGAACGCCGCCTGTCGGTGGACACGGTGCGAGCGCGGTCGGAGAGTGGTCAACAAACAACTGCTACTACTACCTACTACTACTAGAACAACTACTCTACTAATTACTATTATTAAAACTTTTCAACTAGAAAATAACTACCAAATATTATTATTATTATTATTATTACATTACCCAAAAACACAACAAATCTTCTTCTTCTTCTTCTTCAACACACTCTTCTCTCTCTACTACTTCTACTACTCTACTACTATACTACTATACTACTATTTATTATAAACAAACGAAACATACCATTCGGCACGCGAAGCGCGACGTTCTCGTGCGCTTCACTCTCCCGCCACGAGGGAGCTTCGCGCTGTTTTTTCGTCCACTTGTGTGTATACATTATTCGTATTTGTTATCTTTTACGTTTGTGCGTTTTGTATATATTAAATATTATTATTGTTTTATTGTTGTTGTTGTTGTTGTTGTTATTAATTATTTATAATTTTTCTTTTTTTTTTTTTTTTTTTTTTTTTTTCATATTTTAATCCTTACCTCAACCTCAATACGTTCAGAATGTACGGGCGACGTCACTCTACCGCTCTCATATTATATACTAGCGGCCCTGCTTCGGCTTCGCACGGGTAATTAAAACGACCATTACGAATCACTAAATTAGAAAAAAAAAAAATTGTATTTCGCGTCCTAGCTGTTAACGAACTTTGTCTATCTAGTGGGAGGGAGTATGAGTGATGTGAGGTGAGAGTGTTGCGGTAAAGTAGCACTTACAACATAGATTGGCTGA